AGGAGTCACAGAATTTTGAGACTTTTAAGTCCTTTTGAGAACTATTATATGGAAATATTGATGTTTCCAATAAGGGAATTGTTAGTGAGCTGCACATATAAATTTGACAGATAACTACAAAGTAAAGGCAATGAATTCTCCATTTCTTATTGGAGGATTTATCTAAGTAGGATATGCATGTTAAATATTTCCTCCTAAAAAAAGGAATGGAGTGCATTCAGAGCCAGCACAGTAGAATGTGGACAAGGAACACCCAACGGGGAGCTACTCCCTTCAAGCTCCTCAGAAGAAGGTGCTTATGTTAGTCAGCTCTACATCACTGTGACAAAATACCCGAGATAAACAACTTATAAGGGAGAAATATTTGTTTTGGCTCATGATTCAGAAGTTTCTGTCCATAGTCAGTTGTGTACATTGTTTGGGGCCCTGAGGCAAGGTAGAACATCGTGGTAGAACATCAGAGTTGCTCACTTCATGGTGGCTAGGAAGCAAGGAAAGAAACAGGAGCAGGCAAGGTCCTGGTATCCCCTTCAAGGACACTACCCCAGTGATTTCACTTCCTTCCACTAGGACCCACCACTTAAAGGTTCCACTGCCTCGCAGTTGTTCCACACAGCCTGGAGACAAAGCCTTGGACACATGGGCCTTTTGGAGACATTTAGGATCCAAGTATAACAAGGCTATAGGAAATAAATCTGAGGCCAGTGTAGCAGATTAGAGAAGAGACAGGGGGAGGATAGATGGGGGAGCCTTCCTCCAACTCACAAATTGAGACCTGGGACCACCGGGATAGAATTTACATAAATGTGAGAAAAAGAAGAGGAAAAAGGAAGAAGAGGAAGAAGAAAAATTGAGAGGCAGAGTCATCTTTAATGATGAATTCAACACCTGGGTCCCCCTTTCAGTCCAACAGTCACATGGTCTCAACATGGCTGCTTACTGGCTATGATCTCTGATGGGGCTATGGGCACAGCCCACACCACTTCTAACCTGTCCTGTATGACACATTAGCCAGTACTCTGGCTATAACAGTTTTATACACATTTCAGCATGCCCTTTATCCTGCTCAGGCCCCTCTGTTCCTAAGCAATGAAAGATGACTCTTCTTTGCACAGAAGCTGCTTCTTAAGGTTAATTGAAAGTGTTTTTCTCATGAATCATCACTGCACTGAATTATTAACCATAAGTACATATTTGCAGGCCTTTAAACTTGAGCTTCCTGAAACTCTCCTTGGGAACGGTTTGCCACTAGATATATGACTTCCTTTTGGCCACAGAAGAGAGAGGCCATGTCTGCTATTCTTTCCAGGTTTCCAAGCTCCAGAGCTCAGAAGGAGCAAGATCTGAAAGCAGGAAGCATGGTCGAGTCCACAGCCCACCTCGGGCAGTGCTTCCATTATGTGGTGCTGGCCCCATGTCAGCCTGGTCTCAGAGCCCCTGGGGTACAGAGGAGGGAGGGAAGCCAACCACAGGACCTGTGGCTCCTGACCTGGTTCTTGGGCATCTCCATAGGAAAGGGTCTCAGGGGCCTGCGTGGGGAGGAGAGGATGAGGGGCCAGGTGCCAGCTCTGTCCCCATCACTTACCTGGCAGGCCATGAACCCTCCTTGATGTCCTCATATGAGGCTGTTGTCCCAACACTGCAGGCTGACATGAGGTCCAAAGGAAAGGTGACATCCAGCCAGCACCACAGTGCTATACAGAACATCAGGAGCCCAAGAAAGACGAGTTGTCCTCCCACCTGCTGTGGTTTCCAATGAAGTGAGACCTGGCACACAGGGGGGCTGGCTGGATATAGAAGAAAAGACGAGCCCAAGAAAACCACCTGCTGTGGTTTCCAATGAAGTGAGACCTGGCACACAGGGGGGCTGGCTGGATATAGAAGGGGCCTGTAAAGAGAGAGGCACAAATGCCGGCCCAGCAGCCAGTCTCCAGGATGAGGCTAAGGAACCCCTAGAGGGCCAAGTGTGGCCAACCCTTGGTCAGTGTGACAAACGGGCCATGCTGGCACGAGTCCTTCCCCTGGCATCCAGCACAGCCTTGCACCTGCAGATGGGCCCTGGAGATGCCGATAGTCCCACCTACATGGAGCTGCTAGCCTGCTGGGGAGAGAGGGATGGGATGGCAGCAGGCATTGCACCTTGTGGTCAACATGGTGGCTCCAGGGACAGTGAGGACAAGAAGCAGTGATGATAGCTTTGTGGACAGGGTGATGGAGGTCTGTTTCGAAGGCTGAGCAGGGAGGAGGAGCGCTGAGGGGAACCAGTAGTGCAGGGTGTGGTGAGAGGGAGCAGGCACACTGGCAGAGCTTCCAGAGCAGCTGCACCAGTCTGGGCAACAGGCACACTGGCAGAGCTTCCAGAGCAGCTGCACCAGTCTGGGCACTGAGCACACAGAGTAGTAGTGGGAGCCTCAGAGGTGTAAACTGGGAAGGGCACAGGATTACATCCAGGGAGCCCAGTGGAGGCCAATGCGGGGCTGCAGAGGAGGGACAATACAGATCTGACTGAGGGTTTGGCAGTGACAGATGAGCAGAGGAAGATCTGGCAGGAAGTGGTGACCAAATGGCCAGAGAAGGAGGCCAAAGAGGAAGATAGGGGCCCAGCAGAGGAGGATGGCAGCTCTGCATTTGGCACTTCCCTTCTGGTCACAAGGCATCTCCTCTTCCAAGGGCACACACTCCCCACCCATACCCAGAGCAAACCCAGGGCAGCTCAGGCAGACTACAGTAGTATGGAGGGTGCTGCGCCCCGGGAGACAAAGTCAGGCCCCGGCTCAGGACAGCCGTGCAGAGGGGCCAGGGCAGCTGCAGGATCATCAGGACGGGTCATATGAGCCTTGGCACCTGCTGGAATTTGTGCCTTGGGGCGCACTGAACCCTCCAGGCAGCAGGAGGTAAAATGTAAGCTGTTTCCTCCCCACAGTAATGGCCCCAAAATGTCCATCCCCTGAACCTTGGAGTAGTTTTTCTTTGCACATCAGAAGGGACATAGAGATGTGATTAAGTTAATGACTCTGATATAGGGAGCTTGTCCTGGATTGCCTGGTGGGGCCCTTGTAACTTTGAAGATCCTTCTAAGAGGGAGGTAAGGTCGATAGGAAAAGGACCCTGAGTCAGATTAGAAAAAGTGACACTGCTGGCTTTGAGGATGACGGAAGGTGCCTCCAGCTGCTGGAAAGGGGTCCTCCCACCAAGCCTCCAGGAGGAGCCCAGCTCCTGCCCCCCAATGTGGCTTTCTGACCCCCACAACTGTGATATGATGAATTAGTGCAGTGACTTGCTCAATCTGAGGTCACTGTCACAACTGCAACAGGAAATAGCAAGCACCGGTATTCACTCACACCTGGGGGGAAAGATGGGAGGGGTATTAGGCAGCTTTCCGTATCCACCCAGTGAAAGAGCACAGGTTTAATTTGGCTCAGGGGACTCCATCCTTGGCTGTCGGCTCCAAGGTGGAAGGAAATGGTGGAGTGAGGATGCTAAACTCATGGCAACCTGTAAACAGAGCAGGGGGACAGTGCCCTGGGGGCAGGGACCAGATCTAGTTCCCAAAGCCAGGCCTCCCTGACCCAGACACACCCAGAAGTATGCTTTATTCCCTCAGGCACCCCAAGCCAATCCAGTTGACTCAGTTACTCTTAACCGCTCCATACCAGAGACACTGTCCCTACAGTCACCCATCGAAGCAGAAGGCAGAACCTGGGGGGAAAGATGGGAGGGGTATTAGGCAGCTTTCCATATCCACCCAGTGAAAGAGCACGGGTTTAATTTGGCTCAGGGGACTCTGTCCTTGGCTGTCGGCTCCAAGGTGGAAGGAAATGGTGGAGTGAGGATGCTAAACTCATGGCAACCTGTAAACAGAGCAGGGGGACAGTGCCCTGGGGGCAGGGACCAGATCTAGTTCCCAAAGCCAGGCCTCCCTGACCCAGACACACCCAGAAGTATGCTTTATTCCCTCAGGCACCCCAAGCCAATCCAGTTGACTCAGTTACTCTTAACCGCTCCATACCAGAGACACTGTCCCTACAGTCACCCATCGAAGCAGAAGGCAGAGTCCCTTGGCAGGACAGCCACTCTGCCTGGATCCCATGGAGTTTTGTGCTAGAAGTCATAAGGGGAAGAAACCTGCCTTGGCCCCAGAAGGCTGGCAGGGTAGAGCAGAGTATGGCCATTTCTCAGAGAGAGTGGGATGAAGAGGTCGAGGGGTCCTGCTCTCTTACCATCTCCCTACTCAGACCTCAGAAGGAGCAGCACATGGCTAGGAAAGCCCCCAGGAGGTGAGGGAGACAGGAGTCAGCATCCTTCCTGCCTCAGATACCCCCTTCCCATTGGATGCGCCTACATCAGGGCCATAGGCCACCCTCAATCCTGCTGGCCAGGACTTCTACAAGCACAGGCCCTCTGGGAAGTGGGCCCGGGCTTCTTCATTGGCTGTCACCTCCAGTACACTGCCTCCCGATGCACCCAGGGAGCTGCTGGGGTCAGAGTCGGTCACACAGGGGACCAGAGGTCAGGGCTGGCTCATCCCCACCTGGTTGGCCCTTCTGCTAAGACAAAGTAACAGGGGCTGTGCGGGCTGAGGAGACTCGAGCAGTGCCCCCCTCATTGGACTGTAGAGCAACAGTGGCTGGCACGCACCTCTGAAGGACTCCTGGGGGGCACTGTCAGAGCTGCTTAGGGATGGTGACCCCCAAAGTGCTGATCCCAACCCAATCCAGGGGCAGGAGTGCAGAGCACTGGGGTAAATTGGCCTGTATAGAGGGAACCCAGGAGTCCTGGCTCCAGATTCTGGCTGTTTTGTCCATAGCCAAAGGGACAAACCACAGCACCATCCCCCATCCCGCCCAGTTCAGGCCGGTATACCTGGGATCCCACAGGCACTGGGAGCTGGGCCCAGAAAAGGCGCAGCCAGATCGTTTCCAGCTCTCCTGCCAAGGCCCCTGGTATGAGGGCCCTGCTGCAGAGCCCCCTGCCAGGCCCTGCAGAAGGCTTCTGTGTCCATGGTGGGAGCAATCCTCGAGCTCCTCCAGGCCCAGAGCTGCAGAGAGCATAGGGCACTCTGGCACAGGCACCGGCACCGGCGCCCAGGACCGGCCCTGCCCAGAGCCCATGGTTTCCTGACTAGCACCTTCTTGCTCCTCCTAGTCCTTGGTTCCCCACAGCAACTGCAGTTTCAGGGCACTAGGATCCTGACCCGCCAGCCACTGAGTCACAGGCACCAAGGGACGGGAGAAAGGACCTCCAGCCTCACCCTGGAATACTGCCAAGCCCATCTGAGCGCTCAATTTCTCATGGCAGGTAAGTGCTCATCATGCCTGATCCTACAGGGGTGCGGGATGGAGGAGAGGGGAGTTTTGGTCAGTGAGGCCACGCAGAGGGTTCATAGCTTCTCACACCTGTGCCCCACTCCGCATCCACACCCCTCACTGCCTCCCACCTTCTCCCCTAAGTAGGGAACCCCTTGAGAGAAAATGAAAAGCCTTGATTTGCTGGTAAGACTGCAGACCCCCAGCATCAGTACAGCCTCCCTGCAGGACCCCAGGACACAGGGAGGTAGGAGATCTGGAAAAGAAGGTTTGGATTCCACTGGCTTCCTTTAAATCACAGCCAGCTGCTTCCCCAGAGCCAGAAGGCCTTGACAGGGCACTAGGACCCAGGGAAATGTCTGTTCCCCCGGAACCTGGCTGAACCCAGTGGGGCTGCCTCCCTGACACTCTTGGGATGTGACCCAGCAGGTGGGGTGGGCCCTGCTCCAGCCCCAGGCAGGCACTGCAGTCTGCCTGTGGTCTTCGCCCCAGAGCGGCTGGCTCTGGTGATGGGGGGGGGCGTCATTGAGGGGCTGCTGCTTTGGTTGGGGTGAGTTGCTACCTGTGGAGGAGGCTTTGTGCCACCTTCACCTGTGAGGAGCTGCCAGAATCACCAGCTGCAGCCAACAGTAGACAGGGGACAGGCTCTGCCACCCACACCCTGGGAGCCAGCTAGGCAGGAGAGTCAGGGTCGGGCCCTGGCCTTTCTCTGGGTTCCTGGGGGGAGGGGGAGCCCTTGGGTGGGACAAGAAAAGAATTCTGTCTGTGGAAACCCCCCTCCATCTGCCCTCTAAGGGCCACTGAAAACAAATTCCAGGCTTCTCTCAGGCTGGGAGCAGCCATCCTGCAACCTATCTTTAGGAAACTGAGGTTCAGAGGACCTAAGCAACAGGCCCAGACAGCACCAACAAGAGGCAGAAAAGGAGTAAGAAGCTAACAGGTCAGAGGCTGTGTTCTTTCTCCAGCCTCCCACAGCCATGGATAAAGAGGAACTGGCGTGTGTGTGTGTGTGTGTGTGTGTGTGTGTGTGTGTGTGTATCCTTGCATATGTGCTTGGTATGGGCTTTTCTTCCCCAATCCTCTGTATCGATCCCTCTTGTCAAACCCTCTGAGGCTATATATTCATTTCCCACCCACTTGTTTCCCTACCACTGGACAGGCCTCCAGGTATGCCGTTCGTGGTGCCCACTTCCCTCCAAGGCCAAGACTGGGTTGCCCTGCACAGCAGAGTGGGGACTCGATCCCTGTAGAATTCCTGCCCAACCCCAGAGCCCCTGCACCATGCCTTGGGGGGCAGTTGCAGGGAGTACTGCTGCAAGGCAGGCCCAGGGCTGGGGTCCGGTGGATCCACTTGCTCTCTAGCCTATGAGATCTGGGCTTCTGTGTTGTTTTGGGGTTTGCCCTCACCCCCTCTGGGGGAAGCAAGTACCACCCCATCTTACACATTGGCAAACTGATGCAGTAACAGAATAAGAATTAGAACCTGTGCGCTGGGTCCTGCCAAGTGATGGGTTGGCTGCCAAGAAGGCAGAGGGTGGAGGGCACCTCTTTATTTGGAAGATCTTGCGAGAGGTCTTCCCAAGAATCAGCCAGTTCTCAGTATGGCCCTTCTAATTGGAAGAGGAAGGGAAAGGCAGTGTTTTATAAATGAGTCATTCTCTAGGCCCCATGAACCGGGCCAAGTCAAGGATGGGGCACCATGTGCCTGGAAGCAGCTCTGGGCCTACAGGGATGGGGCTGATCAGAGGGAACAGGTATGCAGGCCTGGGGCTGAAGGAATAATCTGGACTCTGTTAGGGCCCTTGTCCTGTCCATGCAATGTCTGTAGCTCAGAAGGTTCAGCGTGGAAAGGAGAACAGGGCAAGGGAGTCAGACTACTTGGGTGAACCCAGAGCCTGGCACTGCCCCACTCCCCATTTTCCTGGGACCAGTAGATTTCATGGCCCTTTGTTGTAGGAGATGCCTGTGGTGGGGACCATCAACCCCGAGCTGTACCAGCTTGCAGAAGACATAAATGAGACCCACTTCCCTGCTGGCTGCCTGGGCTGGCTCTGGTTCTCCATGGAGTACCTGCCCAAGGCTGTGCTCCTGGCCCTGATCAAGGAACAGCAGCTGGGAGCCCCCTCAGAGACCTGCAGCCCCCTCGTGAGGTTCCACCTGCTGCCCGATGAGTGGTGCTTCCTCCAGTCCAGGATCAAATGCAAAACCTCCAACCCACTGTTTGATGAGTGCTTCATCTTCCAGGTATGGCTCTGGAGGGTGCATGCACAGGACACCCTGACTCAGGTGTCAGCAGGATCTTATAACCCTGGACTGAGTAGTATGAGGTTTTTTAAGGAAGGTTGCCCAAAGAAGAGAGGATGTTCTGCTTGGGAATGCCTCAGACCCCTTAGAGTGGGACAGAATTGCCACATGGGTGTGGGTGTGTTACCTTGTGTCCCTGGAACTGCAAGTGCAAAGGCCATCAGGGCAACTGGTCTATAGGGGCCCAGGAGTCTGAGCAGATGACCAAAGCCTTTCAGGGAAGCTGGCATCAAGAGCTGCCAAGAGGACTTGGACAAACACTTTCTCAAGACCTGTGTGGCAGGCAGGCCCAGGAGGTCAGAAGAGGGAACCAGCTGCTGTTAGAGTGGGGTTCCTGAGGCCAGAGCCATGCTCTATGCCTCTTTGGGGGCTTAGGTGGGAAGAGGGACAGCCTGCAGATTGGTCTCCAGCCATCCTGCTGGAATCCAGGGCCAAGGCTGTGAGAATTCACAGGTCAATCTGAGCTTCTTGGGACATCAGGAGCAAGTTGAAAGCCTTAAGGCAAACATAGTGCTTGCCCAGTTTTTTCTCAACTCGTTACATACCTTCCGGTCCCACTACAACTTGGCCCTAGCCTCTCTGTGCTTTGAGGGAGAAGGGGAAGGAGAAACGGTCAGAAAAGAAAGTCAGTGTCTTACTTTTCTCATTCCTGAGATACCCAACACCCACAAGTTCAAGACGGAAATACTTAATTTCAGCTCACAGCTTACAGAAGTTCAGTCCATTGTTAGTTGGCTCCAAAGCAGGGTGGCATCGGTGTTACATTCTGAAACATCCCTCCCAACTGCACCCTGCCCACCTGCTTGACAAAAGTTCCAAAACCCTAAATATCTCCCAAAGTGTTTCTTCCTCCTTTTGGGGAACAGGGAGTGGGTGGTGGCAGTCTCCGCCTGTTTCTTCCCAAGCGAAGAAGGGCAGGGAGATGACAAATGAGCCAGGTTAGCCACGGGAAGCTGGCAGGGGGAAGGACCCTCGTTTCCAGGGGTAGCGCCTGCCGTTCAACCCTCAATGTCAGAAAGGCTTGTCGGGTCTGCTGTCCTTGGCGTCCCCACCGCCTGCCTTGCAGATGACACTGTTCCTGTGCTTGCAGCGGCAACTAGGACAGCGCAGGCGGTCATAGCCACGTTGGGCCAGCTTCACGCAGCCGGTGGCGGGCAGGTAGCAGAGCAGGCAGGGCAGCACCACAGAGAGGGCACCCATGAAGGACCAGCAGACACAGCAGTTGGAACGGGAGCAGGAGCAGGGGTGGTCGGCACAGGAACCCTCGTCATCCTTGTTGGTGCAGTGGTAGAAGACGCCCTGCACCAGGCACATGCATGTGCCATAGTTAACCAGGGTCTGGGCTGAGCACAGTCACTCCTAGCTGCAGACCCAGCAAGAAGTCAACATCCGGGGGGACACACACTCCTTACACTTGCATTTCCCACAGGCCTCGCACAGCAAAAGTGTTTGTCCAGCACTGGCGGGGCCGTTAGACCCTTGAGGTCCAATGGCTTACAGTGGACCAGCTTAGGCTGGAGGCACACGGCCGGGGAGCGAGGCCTGCTCAGCCACAGATGGTGGGGCCATGTGGTCCAGAAGCCGCTGGTCAGAGGAGGTGCTACTGCTGCTGCTCACAGAGATGGGGCGGCCGCTGAAGTAGATCCAGCGGTGGGTGACATCCTGGTCACCGCAGGCGGGTGTCAGGGAGGCCCATCCCAGGTCCACTTGGGGCTGCGGGGGGCGGGGGGTGTCAGGCCAGGGTTGTCTATGTAGTGGTTTCTTCATCTGGTCCATGGGCAGGATGGTGAGAGGACGTTGGAGGAGGCTGTGGGTCATCTGGCCGTCCAGCAGAGGCTGCACCATGACTAAGCTGGGGGTCAAAGGGACGCTCTGTGGGATCGGGGACTCCATGGGGCTGGAGATCCTGGATTGCACTGAGAAACAGGCTTCTAGGGGCCTTTGAGGAGCTCCAGAGTCACAAGTTTTGCTCCAAGTCTGGGTAAATCCCTGAGGCGGAGAGGTTAAGCCGCCGCTGTACTCGTAGACGCCAGCCCAAGAAGCCCACAAGGTTCCCAGCGTCCCACAGCGCCAGCTCTGCGCTGTCAGCTCTGCTCGCTGCCCCGGAGGTGTTGCTCAAAGCATTTTAAAGGATTTATGTTTTTTGGACATGAAATTCTGGGTTGATATTTTTTCAGCAATTTAAAAGTGGCATTCCAATATCTCCTCTCCTCCATCATCTCTGTTGACAAATCGCAGTCAGGGCTATTGTTTCTCTTTTGAAAATCACGTGCCTTCCTGCTCTGCTTTCAGTGCTTCTCTTTGTCACTTGTTTTCATCAGTGTGAACACGGCATGCACCAGAAGCACCTTTCTTTTTATCTGTCCTGCTTTGGGGTCATGGAGCTGTATCAGCGTTGGAAAATACACAAGCTGATTTTCTGTGTATCTGCCTTTTCACTAATTTCCTTTAACTATTGTTCCTGCCCTTATTTCTCCTCTCCTCTACTTCAGAGACTCCAGTTTCATGTGTCTTAGCTCTTCTCACCATTTCCCACAAGTTTGGTTTCTTCTATTTCCCATACTCTACCTCTGTGCTATAGCTTGGAGTTGTTTTACTGTCCTATATTACTAGTTCAATAAATCCTTCTTATGCTAACTGTACTTAACTCATGTGCTAAATTAATTTCAATTATTGCATATTCCAGTTCTAAATTTCTATGTGATTCTTTCTGATAATTTCCAGGTCTTTGATGAAAAAGTATCCATCCATTTTCCTACCAAGTCTGTGTCTGATAACATCAATACCTGGGTCATTACTGTGTGTATGTTTTTCATCCCTGGTCATTTTTGCTGGCTTGCTTGATCGTTTATGGTTGAATACTAATGATTATAACCCATTTTAATGGCTCCAGTGACACAGACTGTAGGTAATGTCTGCCTGCAGATATGATTTACCATGTCCTCTGGAAGACAGAGTGGAGAGGTCATCTTAATTAAATCTGGCCCTGAACTGACTAGAGTCTGGCCTCTCTCTACCTCTGGTTTGCCCCCTCTTCGGAGTACTGCCCTGCAAGGAACCCAAATGAGAGCCTGGCATATTGACCAGTCTTCTCTCCTTCTGTGGGTCCACGGCTCTCTCTACCTCTAGTTTGCCCCCTCTTCTGGAGTACAGCCCTGCAAGGAACCCAAATGAGAGCCTGGCATATTGACCAGTCTTCTCTCCTTCTGTGGGTCCCGAACTCTGATTTTGCATAGCCAAAAACTGCTGCAGCTCATGGGCTTTCTGCTTGCTTTACTAATCCAGAAAATACTTCCTGGGGAAACCCCTCAGGATATTTCTGTGCTCCCCTCTTCTCTGACCTCTTGGCTGTTCCACTCCTGGGCAACCTAAGTCTCCAGGGTCTCCTTTCCCCAGCTCTGGAGATACTGCTGCTTCTGCTGCCCACGTGCTCAGCCTCTTAGCCAGAACCAGCGAGTTTCCTGGGGGAAGTGTTTGCAGAATGTCACCTCACCACCTCAGGCTTTCCTTCTGAGATCCCAGCCCTTCGAATGCTTTCAACTTGGCAGCTCCCCAACAATGTTAAGAAAAGGTTTTCTGTATTTTGTCCAGTTGTCTCCCTTTTTCTCAGCATGAACATCAGTCCACATCAAGGAGAAGAATTCTTTTCCCAGCCAAATAATTCTCAGTAAAGAACAATTCGTACAGGGAATTAGTCACACTGTTCTTGGGAAACTGATGGAGCCAAAGTGGTAAAAGGTAAAAGGGCTTGTGTCAGTCAGCTATTTGTATAGTAATGGTGCATAGCAAACAACCACAGCCTCTCTGTGCACAGAGCATGCACATTCATGTCTCCTGCATCCATGGGTCAGCTGGCTGCATTGATCTAAGGTAGGTAACTGGATTTCAGACTGAGTCAGGATGGGTTCCTCAGCCTGCTCCTCATTTGCTCATTCTGAACACAGGCTTATGTATCACAGCCACCCAGGGGGATCTCTGCTCATGGCAAAGGCAGAAGCACAAAAGGGTGAACCTCAGCACGCAAGCTCATCTCTGGCCTCTGCTTATGTCATGTCGCTTGATGCCCATTAGCCAGAGCAAGTCACACAGTTGAGCTGAGAGAAACAGCAAAGAAATTAACTCTGTCTGTGAGAGGGACTGCAAGACGACATCACAATGGTCATAGGTGGGGCAGGAGTGGGGAATTGGAGTGGATAATTCCATCCACCATCTGGTTGTTCCCAGAGACAGGAACAGCAGGGGCCTGGGCTTGGCTATGCAGATGCATTTGGCTCTCAGTGCCAGTGCTGCCAACTTGGCCACCTGTTATAATGTGGGGCTGTCATCTACATGACCATTTGCCAGGTATGTTTTTTCTTATTTTCACTGTGGAAATTCTTTGCCCAAATTACTGTAAGAAACTTGAGCATCCTGCAGCCATAATTATCAGAGGCAAAGGAATAAATGATGATTTGTACCATCTTGCTGATCTCTGGTCTCACCTAAGCACCTCTTATTTGGTGGAATCTACTGGATCTTTGCTCATAAGAGCATCTGGCAAGACTGGGTAGACCTCAGGGTTACAGCACTTGCCTAGCATGTGTGAGGCTCTGGGCTCCACCCCAGCACCAAAAAGGAAAATGGGGAGAGTGTCTGAGAGATTTGTTTTAAAAAGTAATAAAAACCTTGAAAGGGGATGGGATGGTGCTGTATAACAGGACACACGTGGTGGGGGCAATCCAAGGCCACAGGAGAGCGCAGCACAGAAGACATCCACCATGACAGGTTCACCTAGAGCCCCTACCCCTTAGGTGATGTCTCTGCTTTCCCTTCTGGATCATCCATCCCCAGCATCTGGGGCAGGAGGGATGGAAGCTCAAGCTGGACAGGCAGGAAGCAGTGCCTGCTTTTCATCCAGGCTGTAGCCCAGGCCAGCTGGGGAGAGGAGTGAGAGGCATGAGCAGGAAGCCAGTTGTGCAGCAGACTATGGAAGATCAGGCACTGTAAGAGCTGAAGAGAGCCTATTTTTGCAACTACAAGTTACAGGAGAAACTCTGTGTTACCTAACTGACCAAAACGGTCATGGAACTAAAAAAAAGTCCCAGCACTTGCCCTAAATTTCATGCAAGGGGAAAGGAGAAGCAACCTGTATAGCAGGTTTTTGTTTTGTTTTGTTTTTGAAGACAAGGTCTCTCTATGTAGTTCAGGCTGGTTTTGAACTCACTATGTACAGGCTGGCTCACAGCAATCTCACAGGAGTGATCCTCCTGCCTCAGCTTCCCAAGTGCAGGTTTGAATACGTAACAAGAAAAATAGAACAGAGCTGTTCCTTGATTAGATTGATCAGAGAGTCCACAAGCCCAGTTCTTTCAACACTGTGGATCTATTTTGATTGAATTTATATGCCATTACGAAGTGCTGTTTCCAGAGAAATTCTGTTCCTGAAGTGGCATGACTGTCAGGGCCAAGAAGGGGCCTGGGCACAGCAGGACCACCTGCAGCAGCCAAGAGACCTGCACAGCCCCAACACAACGAGCGATGAGGAAGGAGAGCCGAGGAGGATCAGATGGGAAAGACGTGTCCAGGGCCCTGCAGCTGGAATTTGAAGTGGATTCCAGACGTCTGTAAGTGTCATCATTGCGATGACAACCTCAGAGAGAGCTCCCCCAGGTGACACAGACGACAGCCGGGGTGGCAGGGTCTCCAAGGGCCTTTCATGTCCTCCTTCTTGTGGCTAGCAAGGCGGTACCACCCTCCTTGCCCTCTCTTCCTTCAGACCTCTTTCCGTGAAAATCACCTGTTCCTGTTCACAGAGGGAGAAGTAAATCTGGCTTGCTTTAAAAAAAAAAAAAAGTATTATGGCATGTTTGCAGTACATAGTGTTTACATACATTTTAAGAGGTAAGTACATGTACTTAACACATCTTAATTCTTTTTTATTCCCCTTCCTTTCCCCTGCTCACCCTGTTTCCTGTTCCTTATCTTTTATTTTTGCAATTATGTTAAAATAATATTTTAAATATTTTTAAACTTCGGGTTTCTCCTGTAATAGAAGTCATGCGCTATTTAAACTTGTGAGTCTGATTACTTTCACCCACCATCATGGCTTACATCCGTTTGCTGATTGGCACACTTCCAGGCGGGCAGTTGGAGTGGGGACGCTGTGGAGACGGAGCCTGCAACGCCCGGAGTCCCCACCAGGTGGCGTGAGGGAGGGAACAGAAGGCGCGGGCGGGCAGCCTGGTAGGCCCAGGACGGCGCCGCTTTCGCAATATCTGCCCTCTACCGCCCAGTGTCTGCCTCGCAGCGATCAGCCGCTCTCCGGGTTGTGCTCAGGCCTGGCCCACGTTGGTGCAGGATGGATTGAAGCCGGGGGCTTCCCAGGACCTTCACGTGGAGCCCCTCCAAACACTGCCTCTCCTCCCTGCTTTCAATGGCGATCACTTCTTTAGTTTTTTTTTAAACCACCTATTCATGATACACCTATGTATTACATGTATGACTTATCTAGATGCAAATGTGCTCAGTGAAAAGACAGACTAATAAATAGGCAACGACTGGAGCAGACACTTCCCATCTGAAGATATGCAGGAGGCCAAGAAGCAGGCTGGGCTGTCGGTCTCATAAACCTGTGCATCTGTCAAAACTCAGCAAGCTGTGCCTTCCAGGCCTCTGTGCATTACTATGTATACATTTTTAACCAACAGTTCTTTTTTTCTCTCTCCATTAAGTTTATCGGTACATTTTAGGTATACAGTACAGTTACATTCATCACTGGGATCTTTTACTTTTACATGATGCAACTTGGTTCTTATTTTTTCACACTATTTATACATTTTAACTCAATTTCTTTCTAATTCCAGGTAAGAGAATCTGATGGTGGGTCATTTGAGTCAGGCATCTCACTTTCCTGGAATAAACAGTTTCTGCCAAGGAATCAAACCAAACAGAAGAGGGAGCCCAGAAGAGGGGCATCAGCATGTGTGTGGCTGCCGCCCATAAAAGCACTATTTACTGTGTGGTATTAGGCTCTGTGTTGAAAACCATTGCATCTTTTTCTATGTTTCATCAAAATTGATCTTTTCATATATAATATTTTTAAGCACTGGGGATCAAACCCAGGGCCTTGCACAGGCTAAACAAGCACTCTACTACTGAGCTACATCCTCAGTTCTATGTGGAATTTTTATTCTTTAGAAGTTAAGGGAGATTTTAGTTACTTGATGGGATGAAAAAGATAATGAACCTAGGTCACCTGTTCAGACATGGTGGTGCAGCCTGTAATCTCAGCACTAGGGAGGCTGAGACAGGAGGATTGCCTTGAGTCTGAGGCCATCCTGGGCTACATAGTGAGTTCAAAGCCAGCCTCAATTGCACAGCAAGAACTTGTCTCAAAAAATAAAATAAAATAAGGACCAGGGATTTAGCTCAGTGGTGCCACCACCTACCTTGCAAGTGCAAAGTCCCGAGTTCAATCCCTAGTACCAAAAAATAAAAAAATAAAATAAAATAAAATAAAGAAGGTCCTGGGATATCGCTCAGGGGTACAGCATTTACCTAGCATGTTTGAGGCCTGGGGTTTAATCTTGAGCAATGAAAATAATGACAATAATGAAGAAAATACAAAGGGAGGCTGGATTTGGCCACTTCACGCTACATTGCACTAAATATATTTAATTTTTCAATTGAAATATCACACTGAACCCCATTAGTATGTACAACTGATACATGTTAATCAGAATAAAATAGACCCCAGGTCCTAGTTTCCCATGTAAGATAATAACTACATCATACGAGCAAGAGTCTTCCAGACGGAATGATTGCAGTGTTACACACACTGGACACATTATGTAAATGCATGAGGTCTCATCTGGGTCACCTGTTCAGAGAAGTTGCTGACCTGCTACCCTGCACTCACTGAGCCTGGCGGGAAGGGGATCAGAGCAAGCTAGTGGGGTGGTGCAGTGGTGACAGCTGGAAGGGGTCGAGAGGGTAAAAGACACCAGGCAGCAGCCTGACCTCATGACAAGAATGGTGTGTGCCCTGAATTAGAGGGTGAGCTCAGGAGAGGCTCAGGTGCACTGGGCAGGGAGGGGGAGTGCTACGCAGGCTTGGCCAAAAAGCAGGTCCTTGGCTGAAAGGAGCCAAGAGTCCTTCCGCTTACCTCTTCCCCTGCTTGCTCCGTGCCCTGGAGGAGCGAAGTGCCTCCAGGAGAAGATGCCTCCCTACCTGGTGTATTCTCCCTTTTGGAGAATTCTTTTCAGCAACAAACCAGGTTCAAGATCTCCAAAACCAATCTGGGGATTTACCTCAGTGGTGCTGCCGCCTGCCTTACAAACGCAAGGTTCCGAGTTCGATCCCTGGTACCAAAAAAAGAAAAGAAAAGAAAGAAAGACCTCCTCCAAAACCAGTGTCAACAGTTAATTGTCAGACCTCATTCTCGTATATTTCCCTATCAGCAGTAAAACAAAGCTGTGATAAGTTGCCAAGCAAGACAAAGCATTTTATTCTAATCATCGTAAGATTCATGATCTTGTGCTTTGGAAACATACCAGATACAAATGTATCTTTAAAGATCAAAGACATAAGATGGGTCTTCTGTTTGATTCTAGCTGTTCTGAGAAGTCAGTGATTTCTTCTAAGAAAACCATGTAACAGCCCACAGTCAACTATTAAAGCTGTGCTGAATCAAAGAACAGCAGAAAACCTTAAGTGGACTTAAGCAGTCCTTTTGTGGAGTTTCCTAGAGGGACTCAACCAAAATCAAAATCTTTCTTTCTGCAAAGGAAGTTTGGAGATTCCTTCTCTATGTGGATAGGTGGGAAAGCTGGGAGGGGACAGAGAGAAAAAGAGAAGGAGAAGGAGAAGCAGGAAAAGAGAAGAGAAAGAGGAAAACAGGGGAGGGGAAGGAGGGAGGTAGGAGAGAGGGAGAGCAAGCGATGGCGAAAAGAGTTGGGAGGAGGCTGGAGACACAGGAAAAGAGAAAGACAAAGGGAAGTCACTGAATCTGCTGGCACCTTGACCTTGGACTTCCAGCCTCTGGAACTTAGGAACATTGGGAATTTCTTATTCATGGTTTTAGAAGCGGGGAAGTCCAAGATCAAGGTGAGACAGCTCTGGTGTTTGGGAAGGGCTTTTTCTGGCTTCAAAGAGGTGCCTTCTCGCTGAGTCCTCATATGCTGGAAGGGGCAAATAAGTACCAATAGGCCTCTTTCCTAAAGATGCTCATCCCACTCAGAAGGGCTCCAACCCGGGACCTAATCACTTCCTAGATGTCCGCATGCGAACACCATCCCCAGGGACTAAATTCCTAAACATGAACCAGACCACCTCAAATAGGTCATAACATCTGGGGGATAAACCAGAGGCCTCGGAAGAGGAACAGTTTCCCGCTACTTAGGGTTCCTCGAAACCTGTTAGGCTACCATGGAATCTGTCCCAAGATCTGTGATGCAACATGGATGTGACTTGAGGTCTTTGTTTCACTGGAAATGGTTCAAAGACATCTCCCATAGAAGGCAAGGGGTGTTGCGGAGCATCTGCCCGACCGAGGCTGTGTGTTCCGGTTGGCAAAGGGGCTCTGCCAGACCTTGAGATGCAGGGGGAGGCCATACTGAGGACCACTTGCTCGGCTGTGCTGCGACGCGATCTTACTTCAGAATCCGAACAGCAAGGCTTGGGCGCTGTCAGCTCCTATCTAAAGGAGTTGACCATTCTGTTTGAATTCCAGTCTCTCTACGTATGAAATGGGAAGCTTTGTCTCTACCCACCTTTCTAGTAAAAATCACTTGCTCTCTCCAGGGCTGGGGATTTAGCTCAGCAGTTCCACTGCCTACCTTGTAAGTGCAAGGTCCCAAATTCAATTCCCGGTTCCAAAAAAAAATCTAAAAATCACTTGCTCTGATTCATCTTCCCCATGGAGAAACTCATGCATTAAAGGTATTTTCTTTCTTTTTTCTGTGTCACAGATCCTTCTAAGCAATTGATGAAAGCTACAGTCCCTTCACAGAAAAATGTACTCCCTTCCCCTGGAAGCTGGGTGATCATTTCATGTTAGGAACTCACACATGCACTGCCATTAAGCTACACCCAGGGTTCCATAGCCTGTTAATCCTGGGAAAGCATGAAGCTATTTTCTGGTGTAAGGCTTGGAAAGGCTTGGTGGCCTGTATACATCCTGCTGAAAGTGCTTGACATCCTGGAATTAAAACAACCCTAAGTAGTAGACTCTGGGATACCATCAGGGCCTAGGCTTTGAGACTCAACATCTCCTGTTAGCCAGGAAGTTCAGTCTGTCAGAGAAAGGGAACACATAGAATCATCCATCTATCGTATGATGGCCCCATTCATTAAAGTTAGGTCACCTAAGTCTCTGGCTAATGCCTGTCCAAAAACAGGGGGGCTGTCCCTGAACACTTGGAGAAAGACAGTCTTGGTAAGCTGTCTGACCCAAGCCAGTAATGTCAGTCCGCTCAAAGGGACTCAGGTGCTACCAGAATGTAAAAGAAAGTATCTTTAAGATCTAGCACCATACACCATTGGGTATTTGAAGGCACTGACCTAGCAAGGGGAGTGCAGGGGAGCTGGGGACTCCTGGATTTCATTAATAGCACAGAGATCTTGCCCTAAATAGTAATCGCCATCAGGCTTCTTGATGGCTAAATTACAAGGATATTACAAGGTGAGGAAGCACTAAAAGCCCATAGTGAAGGAGCTTATCTATCAGAAGCTGTAGCTCTGTTCAGGGTTCAGGTGGAAGAAAATACCGTTTCCAGTGTGGAAAGGCATGAGAATCCTTTATTCATTGCTGGGATGGAAGGGACAGCCCTCCCAGATGCGTAAGTGCTCACAGTTGAAGTTTATTGGGAAGATCAGGCAGGACTAAGTCACTGTTAACATTTCTGGGACAGGCAACCCTTGTCCTGACTGTAGGGCTGTCAGGTGAGCAAAAAATAATTTGGGTCCCCATCTTTGTTAAGAAGTCTTCACCCAGTAAAAGGATAGAACATCCAGACATTGCCAAAAAGTATTGGTAAGGAAAAAAGTATTCCATAAGCAACATACAGGAAGAGTAAAGCATTTGGTCACCCGAGTCCCACTGGTGCTCATAACCCGACAAGTCAGAGGCCAACTGTCTGGAATAGAAGGCAAGAACAGAGTAAGATGCCCCATCTGGGGATTTAGCTCAGTAACACAACACCTGCCTGGCAAGTGCAAGGTCCGGAGTTCAACTCCTGCTACCAGGAAAAAAAAAAGGAGACTCCACTGTCAAGGAGGAAGCTTGTGGTCTCACCTGTGACTTCTAGTGTTACACAAGACTCTGTCGCATTGATGGTGATGATTGGGCTGGGGGACAAGTGGAGCCTCCTCATTCCAGGGACAAAAACTGAGGATCTGGAATCCTTCGAGTCCTGTTTTGGTCACATTTAGGCCAAGGTGACTTAAGAAGTTGGCAGGCACTGGGGTGGTGTTTCTTCCCGTGGCCTGTCAGCAGATGGGACACTTATAAGTTAGGGAAGCCCACTGGGTAACATTTGGTCACCCCATAATGCAGCAGGGAGCTCTGCATGATTCTGCATTCTCATTTAATCTTGCCTTTCTTTTCCCCTTTCTGTTCCTCCTCTGTGTCCTGGCTATATAAGAGTTAGCAGTATTTACCAGGTCATCAACGGGAAATCAAGGCCCAGAGACATCTGCAATTCCCTCCCAATGTCTGGAGCTGAGCCACATCTTAAAGGAGTGAATGCTACCTCTACCTCATAGGCCTGGGGCAGGGGCTTCCCTAATTTGCTTTTCACTTCAGCCTTGATGGATGGGACCCAATTTAGCATGGTTTCTGGTTTGACTTTACATCTGGCCCTTCCAGGATGGAGATTATAAAACATCTGCATTTCCACATCTCATCGGGGCCTCTCTCAGGCTGACCACTCCTGTCCAATCGCTGGCCTCACGTCTGTGTGCGCGTGTGCACTTCCACATGTGCATAACCTGAATTAGAGAAAACACTTTCAACAAACCAAAAGAATTTTTTAAATTCAATGAAAATACAATGAAACAATGAAATACACACATTCATTTCAGCATGGAGTTTGTGGTTTCTAAGCCCCAGGACTCCTGGGCAAAGCAGCTCTCTGCATCCCCGGCCACACAAGCCACTCTGCGCTGGTCCCAAGAACAAACTGTAGGCACTGCTAATCTAGTGAGGCACTAAGTCCTGGATATTACTCACACATGATTCTCTTCCCCCTTTCACAGGTTGAAAATGGTCTTGTCTGCCCCATTTGTAGTAATTTTTAAAGGAAGCCATGCTTGTCTCGAACCTAAACTAAACACAGGATCATTCAAATGAATTCTTTGTCGTGTACAGTTAGAATGGAGGAAATTACCCCACACTGAGAGCCCGCTGAGGAAGAAGAGGAGGCGTGTAAGCTATAAGCACAGCTCGAACAGCCTCAGGACACCTCTGTTCAGATCTGAGGGTTTCCGAGGAGGGCCTTGGTGGTGCAGGGCTGGACACAGAGAACAGGATGGGGAACCCTAATACTCAGGCAATGCTATGTGTCGCCTTCACTGTGTGATCATTTCTCCAAGGAAACAAAGAGACCAACAAACAAAAACAAAACAAATAAAACTTCACAGCACTTTCTTAGAAAAATAGTTTTAATTTATATTTAGCACAATTCTCTTTGAAAAATACATTTATTTAGTAAGCACAAATTCCCCTCACTAGTTTATCTCAGTCAGCACCTTCTCTCTGGGACAAGGCCTCAGGGCAGGGCCCAGCTGGGCAGAAGTCCAACAGGGAGAAATCCTGCTGCAGTGGGTAGCTGTTCTCATCCAACACAAAAAGACTCTCAATCTTCAGCACTTGGGGCTCCACACCGGCCGCCAGCAGGGAATGGAGCAGGTCTGCGGCCACCATTCCATAGGTGACCTCTGAGGACGGCACTGGGGAGACAAAGCACATACTGCACTGACCCTTCCAGAAGGTGGAAACCACACATGAAAGCAGCGTGCTGGTGCTTGGGTCCTCCAGTCTCCTGCCCTTAGTAAACCACCAGTCCTATGCTTGTCTTTCTAGTAGCTAAGGTAGTATAGAGTGATGGACGGTGAGCTGAAAAGCAGGCACACAGGATGCCCCATCCCTTGGACAGCAGCCCCTAAAGGCTCAGCTCTCAGCTGCCCCTCTCTCTCCCTCCCCACCCCTCTCGTTTTACTCGGGACTGAACCAAGGGCCCTCACCCTGGATTGCAACTCAGCCCATTTTATCTTTTCTTTTGAAACAGTCTGACTGATTTGTCCAGGCTGGGCTTAAACTTGTGAGCCTTCTGCCTCAGCCTCCCAGAGTGCTGAGATTACTACGGCACGTGTAATGCCGTAGCCATGCTTGGCTGGCTATCAGCTTTTTAATGTAATGAAGGCTAATGATGTTTACCTGCATTAAGACAGAAACCATGAAGGTGTGTCTGAGTCAGAAAAATGACTCTTACACTTACTCATCTAGAGTTTTCATCCCAGCTACATACACATAACACAGGCTGAGTGTCCCAGATCCAAAATGCTTGGCACCAGAAGTGTTGGGGATTTGGGGTATTTGCATTTTGGAATATTGAAATACATAATGAAGTATCCTGTGGACAGGACCCAAGACTAACGCAAACTTCACACATGTCACCTCAAGGAAACTTTATATCATGTCTTTAGTGCACCTCGGTTTTGACTAAAACATGTCACATGCTCTGGGATTTGCCACTTAGAGCATGACATTGGCACTCAAAAAGTTTCAGGTTTGGAAGCATTTCAAAATTCAAACTTCGGGATTACAGATGCTCAACTGGTAGCTATGTTTTATACAAAAGAACCCAGAATCAGCTATTTAATGAATATCATATCAGTAATAAAATACTGCTAAAATATGAGTATATGTGTCATAATTTTCATTTGTCTGCATTCACCTTTTCTTTTTTTCTTTGGGTGGCTATATACGTGCATGCATGGGAAGGGTACTGGGGACTGAACCCAGGGCCACCACACTGAGCTTCATCCCAAGCCCTTTTTCACTTTTTTTATTTTGAGATAGGATCTCACTCCATAAGTTTCCCAGACTGAGCTTGAACTTGGAATCTTCCTGCCTCAGCCTCCCAGAATGGCTTCATTTTCAGGATATTAATGAGTTATATAGCAGGCTGTTTCACCCCAGACTCACAGAGCACCGCTGACGGTGCTCACACTGCATTGCTCCCTGCCCACTGCCAGCTTCTCTTGGCACTGGCCCACTGTCCTCCTGGAGCACCAATGTCATTGTTCTGGAGACAGGAGAATTCTCTACAATAGCATAAAGATTTTACACTTAGACTGCATTGCTCCCTGCCCACTGCCAGCCTCTCTGGCACTGGCCCACTGTCCTCCTGAAGCACCAATGTCATTGTTCTGGAGACAGGAGAATTCTCTACAATAGCATAAAGATTTTACACTTTCACTTTGAAAAGCTAAAGACAGTCACCATGAGTGGTAATAGGGATGGTTTGAGGACCACTTTGACACAATGGCTGTGTCACTCACGGTTATAATCTATGAAGTGTGACTTGATCTAGTGAAGTCCAGCAGTGTGACTTCAGCTGTCCCAGGAATGGGTGAGGCACAGAAGTCTATCTGACATGACAAAGATGCTTCTCTGAAACACCAACTAATGTATGCTGTGTGAAAAATGAAGAGGTAAGATTGAAAATACATAAGGAACACCAAGAAAAGTAATGAAAAGAGCCAAAAGAATGAACTGAAATAAAATGAATAAAAAGCCAGAGAGGCTTCACATCAGGATGTAGAAATCTGCAAAGAGCATGGCTCCCTTCCTAAAAGTTACCAGAAAAAGCTTAATGAACTGTAAAATTGTCCTTTTCTTTACCCATAAGAGAAGCTGGCTGTAAGCAACCAGGAAATACAGGGAAGGGTAAAAGTAGGGGCACAGGTGAAAGGGTCCCAGGAATGTGGAGCAGGAAGGAGGGGCTCAAGTTTCAAGTGGCTGGGAAAGTAAAAGAAAAAAGCCTCTGATCCTGGGAGAGGGACAGAGAACAGCTCTGCACCATGACCCTCTGTGGTGCCATATTTGAGAGGGGTCAGGGGAGGGCCACTCAAGACTCACAAAGCAGAGCTGGCTGCCACAGCAGACACGCAGGGTTGTAGAGGAAGGGCCACAGCCTGGGCCCCTCAGAGTGAGAGGGGGCAGTCCTGCCCCATCCCCAGGCCAGTATGCATCTGTAACTGCCGTCAGGGGCCAGTGCAACTCAGGGACTTGCAAGAACATAAAAGGTGCAGAGAGCTTTGGTCAAGACAGGGCTGCATCTACTATCCTGGTTCCTTGGGAGCAATGTGTTCCTCACACATCGGAGGTGAGGCTGCCATGGGGAATCCTACTGTGCCCCAGCTGGTAAAAGCACAGTGCAGACAATTTGGCACAATACACAGTGCCTGATAATGATAATAAACCACACAACCAGGTTCATGTTCTACCTACAGTGTTGTTCGACTCCCACATATAAATAGGATACTGTACTGTTCTGTCAGCAGCAGCCTCCTGCATCTGGCTTATCAGATCTCCTGATGCAACAGGAAGCCACCTGGGTGACTGGCTTGTGCTACCTGGGCTTGAGTGCACTCCCTGGTACTCATACAGGGACAAATATCTAGAATGTATTCCTCTCATCAAAGGGCTGAGACTGTAGCTATAAGAGGATTCTGAATGTTCCCAACTCAAAGAAACAAAAATGTCTCAAATGACAGAAATGCCACTTACCCTGACTTGATCATCATGTACTAGACCGGGGCATTAAAATGTCACAGCACACCCCATAGACACACACAATGATGATGTGTCGATGGGAAAAAAGAGTGCAGAGAGGGTCTCTGAGGCCCAAGAGCAGAGAGAGGGGGGAAAGCACAGGTGGGGCAGGAGCAGAGACTCCTCGCCACCGCAAACACAAGACAGCACCAGGGCTGGAGCCAGTGGGGACCTGAAGATGACCACGGCAACAGTGAAACCTGAATCCAACTGGGCATCTGACAAGGGTGACTCTCACCCTCATTAAGACTTAGGAGAGGCATGGCCATCTCCAGACACAGATACTGTTTCGCAGCCTGACCTACTCTACACACACTAGCATCCAGTAAAATGACTGGCATGCAAAAAGCAAGGAAAACTACCCACTACTAAGAGAGCAAGCAGTCAAGAGAACCAGTCTGCTCTCTGCTTAAAGAGCCTGAGGCTCAAGAGGGCAGCCAGGAGTGTGACTCCCCTGAAAGGTGGATGTTGCCACTTTGTTTCTAGCCACAGACTGTCCCTAGCATTGTGGCTGAGGAGCCAGCAAGTGCAGCCACTGTGAGTGCCAGTCTTCATAGTTATGGTGCCAAACATCCATCGATTTAGCTCCTATCCATCAGGGCCCAAGTGCTCCTGTGGCCCAACTGGGAAATCAGGTCAGAGATTGGGTGCTTCCTCTACTCAAGTATCAAGACAGGAGTGAAGCCAGTCCCACCTTCCCACTCACACTGCAAGTTACCCTCTGCTTGTACCCCAATTGAGAAAGACTTCACCAAATGAACAGCCTCACTAAGAACCACTTCCTCATAGCGCGCCAACAGCTACCTATCACTCTGTGCAGGAAGTCCGGAGGAATGTGGAGGAGAATCTTCTCTACCAGCTTGGAGCCTACACGGATGCAAACAGAATGGCTTCCATCAACTACAGTCATTAAAGCCGGCCTGCAAAGAAAATAGAGATGGAATTTAGAAACATTCATTAATAAAGGGGAACCCAGGAGAGCAGAGATAAAATATGACTGTGGATTCTTTCTCTTTAGCTATAAGCTTCTTGGTTCTTCTCTCTTCTCACTCTGTCCTTTCCCGAGGCTCGCTCTTTCCTCCCCCACTCCCAGTACTGGGAACTGGACCAGGATTTCATACTGAGCTACGCATCCAGCTGCCCTAAAGCTTGTGAAGCAAGCGGTGGAGCCACTGAGCCAAATCCCTGGCCCCTTTTTTGTTTTTTTGACATAGTGCTCACTATGTTGCTAAGTTGCCTAGGCTGGGTTCAAACTTGCAATTCTCCTAAACTTGTGATTTTCCAGCCAGGATTACAGCTGTGTGCTGCCACATCCAGCTCCTCCATATTTTTTATTGAAATAAATACAAATATAAACTGACCATCCATAACCATCACTCACTGTGGTTAACACTGGACATACACCAGTGACACACATGTCTGGTTCCTCTATTCAAGGAACTTAGGAATTTGGCAGGAAATAAGAAAATATAAAACATTTTTGAATACTGGGGATAGTACTTGGAGCTCACACACCCCAAGTCCAAGAAAATGAAATTTTTTACAATGGTGCTTAGTCACTTTTCTCTCACTGCTGAGACAAAATACTTGATTCACAAAGTTAAAGGGGAAAGGGTTTATTTAGCTCACAGTTTATAAAGGTTTCAGTCCATAATCAGCTGGGACCAGGGTAAAATGGCACATGGCAGAGGAGCATTGCTGAGGAGGAACAGTTCATGGCACTCACACAGTAGCACAAGCAACAAGGGACCTTAACAGTGTCTTTTTGACCCTTTTATTCAGACTACCGAGATTAGGGCAGTGCCAAACCAATCAGTATAGTGGTTTACTAATCACACACCCTTAATCCCAGAACCACACACTCTAGATTCAGCCACCTCTGAAAAAAACCCTATGAAAAGTCCACATGAGGCTTTGGGGGACATCTAGATCCAAACCATAACAGGTGCCAAGATGATTCAATAGGGAAAGGAGCCTTTACAAAAAGCACGCTGTGACAACTGGATATTCACATGCAAAGAACGAAGCTAAATTTCTTCCTTTAGACCATACATAAAAATTAACTCAAAACAGATAATGAACTCAAGTGTAAGAGACAAAACAATGAAGCTCCTAAAAGAAAATATAGGAGTAAGCTTCATGATCTTGCCTTAAGGATGTTTCCTTTCTTATATATGACACCAAAAGCACAGACAACAAAAGAAAAACAGAGAATAAAAGTACTGGCAAGGATGTGGAAAAACTACAACTCTTACATTGCCTGCTGGTGAGAATGTAAAATTGATCAATGGCTTTGGAAAACAGTTTGGGATTCCTCAAATGGTCCAACCATACAGCCCAGGGATTCCACTCCTGGATCTATACCCAAGGGTAATGAAAACTTATGTTCACACAAACACTTGCACACAAGTGTTCATAACAGCATTATACATAAAAGCCAAAATATAGGAACGACTCAAAAGTCTACCAGCTGATGAATGGATAGATAGAAGGTGGCATTTGCATACAATAGAAGATTATTTTACAATAAGAAAATAAAGTAGTGATCCACGCTACAATATGGAAAAGCCTTGAAAGCATTGTGCTATGTGAAAGAGACCAGTCCCAAAATGCCTCCCACTGTGACTCTGCTCCCCCGATGTGTTCAGGAGGGGAAGTTTGCACATAAAGAATGTGGTTTCCACAAGCTGGGGGATAAGGACAGGACTGATCACTGATGAATATGAGCTGCGAAGAGGTGGTGGTGGCCTGGGGTGTGGAACATAGCTAGGAATAAATCAGAGGAGGAGGAGAAGGTCCATGGGTTAGGTCACTTCAAAACAAAAGCACTGTGAGCAGCACTGAGGATGTGAAACAGAGTGAGCTCATTTGGATTTAGGGGTGAAGAAAGAGAAAGGGAAAACATTTACAACTCTTTAACCAAGACTAACTGGTGTAAGGCAGAGCAGGAAAGCTGGGTGGTAGGAGAAAGAGACAAGGCTAGGGGGTGACTCATGCATTTCTAACCTAACAAGCACCAGAATGTGAACACAGGCTAGTAGGAAAGGCCTAGCAGGAGAAACAGTAATTGAAGACAGGAGAGATAAAGCAAGATGCAGACATTCATGCAGGGCCTGGTCACATGTAGGGCTGCTCAAGCTTGTTCATGAGGCATGTTTGCTAGTGCCCAGCTTCTTGCCCCAAGCCACCACCCTCAGCGTGAATCAGCATTTTCCCACCATAAAATAGTAAGTTTTCAGAGCCCTAACACCTTTGTAATTGCTAGTGATCTGTAGTATACCCATGACATCTCCTTTCACCTGCCCCTCAGAAACTAAATATGCCACTTCTGTCTTCCCAACACTTTTTAAAGGACAATATATATATATTTATTTCTTTTAAATTCCAGTAACAACTTCTGTTTCTTGTTCCTTCTATGGCTACAAGGAGTTTCACTCGTTCAGTATAACACAGAAAGCGTATGAAATGCCTCAAAGCCCCAAATTCTCCACGACTATCTCTGGCACACCAAACTTATAAAGGCAGAAGCACTTTTCCATAATGGTTACTACTGTTTGTTAGTTAATCTTTTAGTTAACCAGAACCTCACACTCCATAGGTATTCCAGTAAACTAAGGTCTTTATCAATAAGGACATGGTGCCTCTCATGGCTTATACCCACATATCCCCCCAAAGCCTCATGCACTCAAGGGTGCAGCTTTAGGAGGTGGCTAGATCACGGGTGTGTGATAATGGAGTAGCCTGCTGATGGGTTTATAGCTGGGTGTGATGTTGACAGGTGAAGCCTGATGGGAACAGGTGGGCCACTGTGGGTGTGACCTAAAGGTTTATCTCCCCCCTCCTCCCTAATCTCTTGCTGCTTCCGGTCCTCCATGCCATGAGCTATTCTCCTCTGCAATGCCCCTCTGCCAAGCCACCTGCCTGGGAGCCAGGTAACTGTGCACTGAAATCTCTATAAACTATGAGTCTTTAACTTGTGAGTGTTAAATATTCTATCCCTGCAATAAGATAGCAACTAAAACAGTATCTGAGACAGAAAAAATGTCCCCTCTCTTCAATTTCAAGAGACCTTGTCCAACAACACATCTCATTACCTTCTTGAAAATTTAAAATGAGATATTTCTTCTGATAAAAACTTTTCATTTGCTATTTAGAAAAAATTAAATCTGTCAGCATCCTTCCTTCCCACCCCTGACACTACAGTCAAGCAACTGCCATGGATACTCCCTTGCACCCAGCCTCATTCTCGTCTGCTCTCTAAGGGACAACCAAAGTCATGTCCTAGGAGCAGAATTTAGCAGAGGTGACATATGTGGCTCGTGGGGCAGGGTCATAAAAAGGCTGGCTTCCATCCAGCTCTCCCTTGGTGGCTTTCACTGGAGAAACAAGCTGCCCCCACTGTGAGCGCACCTAGGCAGCCCGTGGGGAAAGGGACGTGTAATGAGGAACACAGCTCACCCCACATTAGTGGGCTATCAAGAAAATACACCCAGCCCACACCTTCCTGCACCTCCTGAGACCCAGGCACCCTCACAGCTGCCTCTCTGAAGCTGAACAGTGGCTTGGTCTGTTGGCTTCTCAGCTTCTGTACAGAAAAAGTGACATATTCCTTGTATGCCAAAAAATGTAACTCTGAATTTATATCCCATAAAACATTGTTAGAGATGCTATTCAGGTTCTATAACATATTTAAGAACAATAACTATACCCTACCTAATAATTATGTTGAAAAGGAACATTTGGAATGATGTAAAATAAGTCACATACATACTTCTGAGAGGCTTAACTGTTGATGAAAAGTCAATTTTAATTGTTTCTTATATACTAGGTATCTTAATTTAATCTTGTTTTCCACAAAAGCAACTTACAAAGTAATAGTAAAACTCATAAGCAAAGCAAATAATTTTCTTCAGCATGCCTGTCTTAAGACAAAATCTCCGGGCCGGGGATTTAGCTCAGTGGAGCCACTACCTGCCTCTCAAGCACAAGGACCTGAGTTCGATCCCTGGTACCAGGAAAAAAAAAAAAAAAAAAAAAAAAAAAAAAAAAAAAAAAAAAAAAAAAATGAGTTCGATCCCTGGTACCAGGAAAAAAAAAAAAAAAAAAAAAGAAACAAATAAAGAAAGAAAAATACAAAACCTCCTTGGACAACATTTGCTTCCATAATAGCTATTTATCATGCAGGAGAAAAATTTGTTCTCTTGGGTTAGTTCTTATTAGAAAGTAAGGGTTGATATACCTAATTTTCCAGTCTTATAAAAGTAACTATTTCCATCAAAATGGCTTCCTACTTTGCCTTACCTGTAGTATATTTTCTTCCCAGAAAGTGGCAAGCAGCTAAGACACTGTCTGTAGATCTTGTTCTCATCAGTGTCCAGTTCCGATCCACAGCCTGCACAGCCTGTGTAGATAATGTTGGGAAGCAAGGACAGGATGCACTCCAGAGAGCTGTGAGCAGTCAGACTGAACTCCTGAGCCGCTCCAACCAGAAACACCAGCTCCACAATCCGGGCTTTAATCAGAACCACTCCTAGGAGAGATGAAGAAATCATGTACACTATTGGATCTGAATGATGAATTTGTAAATGTGTCCAGTGATTTATGGTCACTAGGGAAAGGCTGCATCAAGTCCTGCTCTTGGTCTTCCTCTTCTCTAGAGAATCCTTCTTTTGGGGCTGTGGTGCCTACTTCAGAATATGCCTGCAAGCAAGTGAAGGCTTAGTAGCTGATCTCACCGAGCAGCTGGGGGTATTCTTCCTCCTTCTCCTCTGAAATTACACAAAATAAGTGCAACTGTTCCTTTAGGAAAAGTCCCTTCACAGACTGCACTTGAGAGTAGCTAACATGCTTTTCCCTGACCTGTCCTATCAGTTTAACCACATAATCCACAGCCAAATGGGAGGCGAGTTGTTCTACTTGACATTGTCCACAAGTAATTAACCAAAGTTTATCCTCTTGTCACTCTTCCTCCCACTTCTGCTCACTGCTGCCACGCCAGCTGTGGGTTATGGAACAGCCGCGAGGCACCAGAGTCCTCACTAAGAAAGGTCTCTCCAGTGACTCACAGGACTTCAAGTGAGCTTGCTGAGTTACAGGCCCCTCAGTCACCTGAGAGCAGACACTGAACACCCACTACCCGCCGGACACTCCTTCTCCCACCTCATCATGGCTTCTCTGTCCACTAGTGAGGCCCGCACCTTTTGTCAGGGCCCCCTTCTCTCCACCATCACTTTAAAGCCTTCCCCACGCCTGTAGGCTGACTCTTCCAGGCCAAGAGCTCCTCATCTCCATCTCCTAGCCCCTCCACTGCCATCTCTGTCTGAGTCCAGCCAGGGTGGCTTGTCCATATGTCCTTTCGTTTTCCAGTGGTTTCATCACCTCTTCTGATTACACCGCATATCCCTGCAAGTCATCAGGAAAGGTAGTAGTCACCTATCTAACAATCTGGAGCAGACTCCCTGTCACATGTTCCCACAGCCATGCTGAATCTCTAACTATTTATGATTTTGTTGTTGTTATTTTGGCTTTTTTTTTTTTTCTTGGTACTGGGGATCAAACTCAGGACCTTGCAGTTGTGAGGAAGGTGATGGCACCACTGAGCTAAACCCCCAGCCCTCTGTAAACTATTTAATAAAAGAATTCAAATACAGAGCATGGTGGCACACCTCTATAATTCTAGCACTTGGGGAGGCTGAGGCAGGAGGATCATCATGAGTTCAAGACCAGCCTGAGCTACACAGTAAGACCCTATCTCAAAATAAATAAATAAATACTAATTTTGGATGTTAATCTAAACCTATCATTTTGTAAATTTTCATACATCCTTAAGAGAATTGAAAGGTCACTCACTGTAAACACAGACTTTGCTTTCAGGAGCACCCAGCCCTCTGGGCACTGAACTTCTGCTGTTGGTGAGGTGAGAGTCAGGCACAGGCTTGTCCTCCTTCTGGCTTTTGTCCAACAAACAGCCTGTCCTACCAAATTCCCCAGTGGTGATTCTCCTTTCTCCTCCCTTTAACTAGGAAACGTTTTTGGGGTTTTTTCTTAAGCTGCTTATACTTTCCTGTTCTCTCTGCATTTTTGTCTTTTTTTTTTTTTTTTTTTTTTTT